AAATTGTTCACGTTCCCTTTTTCTCTCTTTTCTCCTGGTACACCTTCTTTCGTGCCTCTGTAGGTCTCTGCTCTTTTTCTTAAGATCTTCATTATTATATAAATAAACTTGTATAGGCCGCAAGAATCTATATGAGTTGAGAAAATTAGGAGAACTGGGGAGCTTCAAGAATAACACAAGGTTGACGACTCTTTCAGAAATTACACATTTTATCAGAAGATTTACACACCAATTTGGCAACGACATAAAGCAGTTTTACATCTAATTCCCATAACCTTTGTCAGTTCTTCAAGTTTTTCTTAGTTTCCCTACCCTTCTGAAGGCTCATTGTTGTGAACACACAATATGTAGATCTAGTCTGTTATGAAACATATTTTAGCTTTTCACTCGCTAAGTTTATACAACATGATATTGATATTATTAAGATTAAGATGCTTTGGTTTGTATGTGAAGAAGATTTTTTTTGACATTCCACAATAACAATAAAGAATTTCGCTTGATCCACCTTCACATGTTTGTTCATTCATTTTTAAGCAAAGGGGCGGGCGCAGTAACAGCCGCCAGGAGCTGGGGAAAAGTTGGACATTCACAAACAAATTATTATTATTTATCATTATTAATTTTATTATTATTATTATTATTATTATTATTATTAGGCCTACTATTATTATTATAATACTAGCACAATCAAAACTTTTATTCAAATTTTTTTGAGGTTCTATAATAATAATAATAATAACAATGATTTGTAGCTCCTGTTTAGTTTTAGTAAGAGTTTTACGGCACTTGCAACACAATAAGGTCATATAAGTGCCGAAGATTAGAGATGTTACAAGAGAGTAACAAACACAAAAAAAGGAGGAGAGATAAGGACGACAGATGTTTGGTATGAAAAAAGAAGCAAACCACACCAGAGCACCCGCCAACCACCCACTAATATGTAGCTCCTCCATCAACGTCTGATGATAGCCGATATATTTACAGGGGTTAAGTGTTTTAGGCATTTGCAACTGCATAAGGTCATATGAGCGCGCGGGACACATTAAACATTTTTAGTTGGGAGGAAATTTTGAATTTTGCCCAGGTGGTGGCCGAAGCCTACTCATATCTACCTTGGACCACCAAGGGATTTTTAATATGCGCAACTTGTACACGGGACTTCCGAGATATTTTTACCTTATCCGAGAAGGCAAACTGTAGATCTTACCTGAAAGACAGCAGTAAAAAGGAGCCAAGGAGAAGCATTAGAAAGGCATTCAGGAAGAGTCAGGAGCCCAGACGAGGGGGCAAAGGGAGTGAGGGGGAGGGGGCAGAAAGTGGAGACGAGAAAGCAGATGACCAAACATTGTTAGAGAGCAGGAAATGATGTAAAAGGAGAACATTTTAGAGAAGAAATTTTTCAGTCGCTATCCAGATTCTAACCCGGTACCTATCGAATGAGAGGCGAACACCTTAACCTCTAGACCATGTAATGAAAGATGAAAGCCAGCGAAAATAATTTTTTTATGAAATAAAAGAAATATGGTTTTAATTGACTGGCTTCTGCAACAGCCATTGAGGCCAATTCTGGCAGAGAAGAGTTGGCCACAGTTGGAGAATTTAAAAGCTTCATTGCCACTTGTGAATGTGCAACAGCTTGAAGTTGAAGGCTTCGGTCTTGGCTTCAGCATTTGTAATTCAAGAAGCCACATATTATATATTATATATATATACATATATATACATATATATATATATATATATATATTATTATTATCATATATGATTTGTTGCCCTCCATGACTGCTGCTCTCTCTAACTTGATCTGTCAGGAGCTAGGCTCTCCCATGTCAGGGATTAACCGATTCAGCCCGCAGTTAATTTTTACTTCGGACACAAATAATTTGGGACCACTTCATAACCTCACGGGTGGTCTCACAAAAAAGTAATTAAAAAATATATAAATTTGATAAAACCGTCCTACGTGTGGCATGCAGAAATGTTCAGAATAAAAAAATAGGCTACTAATCGCTGACACCAGAAAAAAGGGTTGAAATGTAAGCAATTGAGAAAAAAGAAGAGAGGAAAGTGATGTGAAGAAAAGGGAGCAATAGATAAAAAGAGACACTCTGAGCGACTCTGCATCAAAACCCAGGAGACAGTCAGCCACTGTGAGTGTTGCTGGTTGAGGGCTGAATCAGTCCATGATGTGAAATGTACTTTATGACTGGATCTAAAAATATTACATGCATGAGTTTAGTTTTAGTTTTAGTAGAGGTTTTATGGCGCTCGCAACTGCATAAGGTCATATGAGCGCCAGAAGATTAGACGTGTTACAAGAGAGTAACAAACATAAAAAAGAAGAAGGGGAGATAAGGACGATAGATGTTTGATAGGAAAGAAGGAGCAAACCACGCCAGAGCACCCATCAACCACCCACAACATACATGAGTATCAACATAAGATTCAATACATTTTCCACACACTTTTTATTTGTGCTTTTCACACAGATATATAATGTATGCGATAAATCCATAGGGGAAAAAAGGGAAAGAAAGAAAGAAATAGAAATGTCAGTGAATGTAAATCTCTCAAAAAAAGTACAAGATGACAAAATTGTCTCTTGCTGCATGTTTACATGAAATACAAATTTCTCTACATGAAAATACAAATTGATTTTGCAAAAACATAGTAAAATCAACGGCTAACATTGGAATTTGTTTTTAAATTTGCCTGTCTAATATAGAAGTCGAAAGACAAAAAAACAAAAATAAAATAAAGGTGAACAAATGGTTTTATGCTATAATGTACAAAATTTAAGAAAATAAAGGTTTAAGTACGGAAGTCCAGTCCAAAATAAAAAACTAATGAAAATGAAAGAAGCAGTGCATTAGTCTACCAAAGTTTTTAAGATGTCTAAACAGGCTATGGATCTTAGACAAACACAAGAAAAAGAAAAACGTAGAAATGGAATCAAAGAAATGTTCACTCTGTCAATGAACAAAATCTCAAATATTCACTTTTGGAAATTCCGTATAATACAATCTGTAAATATAGGTCATATTTTTTTTTTTACCTGCCACAGTGTGTTGTATAATGGGAATAATTTTTACATCATATTTTTTTGTTGTTAATGCATTGCAACTGCATAGTAGACACGACACCAAACCAGGACTAACAAAACTTATACGTATTTCTCTCTTTGCGTTCCTACTTTCTAGAAACGAGTACCTAATTGTCAGCATCTCTTCAAGTGCTCGTGATATTTTTTCGAAGTTTCGAGAAAATTAGGGAAAAAAAGAAAGCACCAAAAAACTCAACCTTGATTTATGCACTCGTAATTTTTTTTCTTGTTTAACTAGGACTAGAAAGGGAATGATGTTGTTAATCATTAAATCGTTGCTGGTTACTGTATTGTGACAAGGGGCAGTAAGTTACACTGCTCAGCAAAATGACGGAGGAATAAATTCACTTTCAAAGGTAAGGACCCCTGCTGTAAAACAAGCCACCACATTACTTTCAACTCGCAAAACAAATACAAAACAAACTAAACTATTTTCAGAAGACAGAATGATAAGACACAATTCCTTGTTACGCCATATACACTTAGAAAGTCCAAGTCTTTGGAACATCGTAAGTATGGTACTTTCAAGTTTAAGCATATATGATATACAACTATGCACAACTTTCTCTCAACAATTACATTCTCAATTCCGCACAAGCTAACAACTTGTAATGGGGTGTCCTACGATAATTTCCTTTAAAATGATTAAGAAATAAATCCATCAGTTAAGAAGAATTTCTTTTTCAGAAATTAGACCAGCTATATAATGTTCAAATGCAAAACTTGATTAAAATAAGACAAGGAAGGAATATGACAATAATGATGATAATGATCATCTGGAACCCTTGACAATCACTTGTTGAAGCCCAGGTATTTCTGAAAATATTTTGTAAACAAAATCGAGTCAACAAACAAAAATCAGACGTTCATTTTGTACATCATGGAAAGGAAGAATGGACAGAAAAGGAGGGAGGTAAAGAAAGACAGAGATGGGGAGGGAGGGGGGTAGAGAAAGACAGAGAGAGAAGGGTCACCAGCACCCCCTGACCAAACACAACACTAATTGGTGGCTTTTAAGGACAAGCACACTAACCCAGATTTAGGGGGCTTCCAGAAATTTTGACCTACACCAAAAGTGGGCATTGCTCCACCCATAGGAGATGTTTGCTTTCATTGGTGTGTATATTTGTTTGGTTATAGAGAAAACTCTCCTCGTCTTTTAAAGAAACTGAACATGGGGCAAAAACTTAACCTTCGATTTTCTCAAAACAGCATTTTTCGGGATAGCCCCCTTGTGCTTTAAAGCGACCAATTAAGCTAATCCTCCATATCTACTAGCTGTAAAAGATTTTTTTAAACTTTCCAAAAACACAGATTTTAGTTTACGTAAGGTTTTACGGCGCTCCCAACTGCATAAGGTCATATGAGCGCCAAGGGGTGGACGTCAACAGAGAAGTCCAAACAGGGAATCAGGCTTATTCTGCTTACCTCTCTTGCCTCAACAGCACAAGGTCTGCTTCGACCACCAAGGCACCCCAGAAATAGCAGTTCACAAGAGAGTGACAAACATACAAAAGAAGTAGAGGAAAAATGACCATAGTACGGTGAGGAAAGAAAAAGCAACAACTCCCCTCATGCAGTTCCGGCACAGAATGAGCATGACACTGATAAATCAGCCGATTTACAATTCTACTGTGCATTAGAACATATTAATATCCTCCCTTTGGGAAAGGCCTAAAGACACTTCAGTCAGTAGCACTGCCCTGGTGTGTGTGTGGGGGTGGGGGGGAACACAGACTAACTACTGACAGTTCAACAGGGGTATGAAAGAAAGTCACAACATCTCCATTCTGTAAAAAAGCGGGTGGTTCACAGGTGCTCTGCTGTGCTTTGCTCCGTAATTCTTTCCTATCAAATATCCATCACCCTTATTTCTCCTCCTCTTTTTCTTTGTATGTTACACTCCGGCACCACCTCTAATCTTCTTAACTTAAATGATCTATTTGTGTTGCAAGCGCCATTTAACTCGTATCAAAACTAAAACCAAAAAGGAAGGTCATGTCAAACAGCGTCGTGTTAAACAAAGTCTATTATTCCACTATGCTTTATGGGATACCAGGATCAACTTCTTCTAGCTAGTTAGGAAAGAAATTTTCATGACAGATCAGATGGGTGGTCACTGAAGTGTGTCCTTGAGCAAGACACGACAACCCTAGCTCAAAAATACAGGGCGCTGCACAGTGGCAACTGACAATGGCATGGTTGTAAACTGTTCTGTATTTGTGTAATATTGTGTATTTATGTATGTATTTGGGCATGTATTTATGTATGTACGTATTTATAATATGTATTTACGTATGTATGTATGTTTGCCATTCTAATACAAAGTGCCCTTCAGGGACAAATAAAAGTGTAATTTATTATTGTTATTATTATTATTATTATTATTATTATTATTATTAAAAGCTGTCAAATGATGTCACTCACCTTTACGTCATAGTTGACGTCACGCAGGTAGCCGAGGGCCCGGGGAAGGCTGACAGGCTGCAGTGGAATATTGTTCTGTGAGGAAAAACACAAAATAATTAATAATAATAATAATAAATAGCATTTGTATAGCGCGTGTCCCCACATGAAAGCAAGCTCTATGCGCTTTACACTATATTATTACCTCAGCAGACCATAGAACACTCAGAAACATTCTCAGCTTCCCAGGAAGCACACAGTGCAAGCAGCTGGATAAGCACTCAACAAACACTAACAAACTGACTAGATCTGTCACTGTCTATAGCTGGGTACCCATTCCCACCTGGGTGAAGTGGGTAAAATTCGTGTAAAGTGTCTTTCCCAAGGACACTACGTCGGGCCTGCGGCTCGAACCCCCGAACCGCAACCTCACGGTTATGAGACCGGTAGCCTAACCACAAAAGAAAGTAGGTAATGAACGCTTTATCTCCGAGGGGGGTAAACCCACTACGCCGGGGCCCTTTTTTTGGTGCTAAATCTAAAAATGACAAAAATCTCATTAAATGGGTCATTTGATCAAAACTAGCAAACCTATTTTGATAGTTCTTCATCTAAATAATGAACTTCCGGTATTAGAGAACTGTTTTTGGCAATTGCCGCAAGGTAATTTGATGTTGAAGTCGTCGTAAAGGAATGTGCCCGAGCCAGAGTCGCTGAATACACAAGTTACAGTAACTATATGACTGTCAATTTTCATAGCTTAGTTTTACCGTCTGTTGGTACAATGTTGCCTACATTTCATCATGAATGCTCAGAGTTTACACAAACGGACATGTAAGGCAGAGCAACAATCTAAGACTCCTAGGCTGTTCCCAAAGGAAATGAAATAGGCTTTTATAAATACATTCAAATTTCCTGTATATTGACAAAAAGTGAAGAATTTTCAAATGGTATACAAACTGTTTCAATCAGACCATATTCCCTTACAATTGAAAGCTCTTCGCCAAATAGACAAATCATCAGTCAATTACGATATATGTGTAAATGAATTCAGAAACACTCTCTCTTTTTCAGCACACATGAACGAATCATAAAATAGCTTTCAAGAGTCAGAAAGGAGCTTTCATGATAAAAAAAATAAAGATATAAGCCTTCTAAAAGGTCAAGAAGAATGAATCCATACTAGACAAAATTGAAATCATAACTTCCTTTTCTAATGACTCCAGTGAAAGTAAAAACCATATTGCTGCGCTCCAGTGGGGGCTCCAGTGCCTTAAGTGAGAAGTGAGTTCAGACTCCAATAATGTCAAGCAAGTGTTGGTGACACAGGGTTTAGATGGGTGGTCACTGGGGTGTGTCCTTGAGCAAGACACGACAACCCTAGCTCAAAATACAAGGCGCTGCACAGTGGCGACCGGCACGCAATGGCATGGTTGTAAATTGTTCTGTACTTGCGTAATAATGTGTATTTATGTAAGAATCTGTACATGTATTTATGTATGCATGTATTCATAATTATGTATGTATGTTTGCCATTGTAAACCAAATTGCCCTTCTGGGACCAATAAAAGTGTAATTTATTGATTTTATTTGATTTATTAAAGAACATTTTAAAATGAGTGTAATCTGACAGATGGTGTATGGATGACTTACGAGGATAGGGCTGGCGTTGCACAACTTGCACTCAACATTGCCAGAGTCTGCATTGCAGGAGCATCTCTGGCACTGAGGAAGCTTGGTGTCCCAGCCTACTCTGTGAGCAAACGACTGTGGAGGAGGAGGAAGGAAACAATTTTTACATAATCATTTTGTTTTATTAAATGTTTATCAAATTAAGAACATTACCCACCCCCCCAAAAAAAAACAACAAAACAATAACACCAAAACTATGCACTTAAAATCAAACGTCGAGTAGTGGGTAGCAGTTAGTATTAAGTTTGAAATTTTTTTTAAATTGAAAAGAGCTTAACTGATTCAGCCCGCAGTTAATTTTGACTCCAGATCCAAATAATTTGTGACCACTTCATAACCTCGCGGGTGGGCTCACAAAAAATTAATAAAGAAATATCTAAATTTGATAAAACCCTCCTATGTGTGGCATATAGAAACCTTCAGAATAAAAAATACTAATCAATGACACTAGAAAGAAGGGTTGAAGTGTAAGCAATCGACGGAAGCAATAGATAAGAGCTGCTCTGAGTGGCTCTGCATCAAAACACAGGAGGAAATAACGGCCTGAATCAGTTAATAACAAAAATTACGAAGAACATAATAAAAAATTAAGAACTTAGGCACACCAGGTTCTGTAGCTTGCATATCAATAAAAAATATCTGTGGAAGAACAGTGTCTTTGTCTGCTAAAATTTTACTGATCAAATTTGCTTTATGTTTAAAGAAAAATACATGAATAATTTGGAATGATACTTCATTTTCAGTGAAAAACTAACCAACTCCAAGCCTGCAAATTAATGTCAGACTCACAAAATCAATGAGAAAAGAAAAGAACTTGAAAGAACTTGCTAAGCAAGAAAAGTACTGTTAAGCTGAGTGACCCTTCCATGGCAGGTAAAAGATAATCAACTATCGCTTTTCCATTTCCAAAACCTTGAGACTTTCACCTTGATGAATTCTTGCTTGACCCCGGATTTGCCGTTGAGGTGAGTAGTGTCAAAGACAGCGCCAGAGGTGACCTGAGCGATGCTGCTGCAGTAATCCTCCGGCCTGTTTCTCTCCACATCCAGAGGCCTCACTGAGCTATCAGAGATGTGGTTGGTGAACGTTTTAGAGTTGTCCAGACCTGTCCCAGACATTTTATTATGATTAGGAGTGGGATAGATATAGTATATTGAGTCTGCAGTGTGTGTATGTGTGTGTGTGTGTGTGTGTGTGTGTGTGTGCGTGTGTGTGCGCATGTGTGTGTGTTGTTATGTCTACAGTATATATGCATTCTTTCCTACCAATATTTTAAATGGTTGGGTTTTTTAAACAAAAGAGTATGACTATACATTTTCTTGTGAGAGTGGTCAGGTCTGCATAGTCAAGTTCGGACATAAAAACAAAGAGGTCAATGCATGCTCAATTAACAAATGAAAAGGGAGACCAAATGTTAATTTTAGTATAAAAACAGCGAAGAACATTTTGATTTTGACTCAAACCATCTATCATCATCCTCAATCAACAACACAATATTTCTGGCAAGGTACTTTAACTCTTACTTTTCTAAAGTAAACAGTCAGGAAGCCCAACTTGTTTTTGAGTGTTCTATACAGTCTGCTGGGGTGATAATAGTTGTAAAGCCCTTCAAGCATAGTGTAAAGCATGGATATGCGCTATGTAAATACAATTATCAACATCATAATTACTCCAGAAAAACTACAGACCGTTGGAAAGAATGACACCCATTAACACAACAGCTTTCAGGTTGTTTTTTTTTAAAAGAAAAAAAAGATTTTTTTAAAAGATACGTTTAACACTTTGCCCTCATACTTTGGGAAAATCCAAAAAAATTGGGTGGTAAACATCGCCAATCGGCGAGATGCGGCGGCAAAGTGTGAAACAAGGATTTTTTTCAACCCCAAAAGAAAACAGCTTTCTTACCATAGACCCTGTAGGTGGCCGGACGGTTGGTGCCCTCCTCGCTGTAGGAGAAGCCTTGCTCCTGCAGGATGTGCACGCTGAAGCCTTGGGAGCGGAGACTGTACGCAAGCTGGCTCTCCAGGATGCCCACCTCACAGGCTGAGCACGGAGCCAGCACCAACACCTGGAGGAATGGAGGAATTTGGGAAGAGTTTTACAGCGATCGGAACTGCAAAAGGTATTTAGCACATAATCACATCCTGCAGCATGATCTATGCACTTTACAATTATCACCCTCACATCTTCTGCATGCAGCAGAAAAAAAGTTATCTGATTCACTCCCCACCTGTTTTCCTGTTTGGACCACGCCCCCATTTTACACTATGTGATTATAGAAAGGTAATGTCAGTAATCACTTGTAAAATTGATCAATGTTAGTAAAAACCATAACATGTAATACATCAAAATGTCCACAATGAATACAGAATACAACTGTTAGAATATCCGAATGTTGTTTTCAAACTGAAAACTGATAAAGCAACTGGAAATGTGAATTATGTGTAAAAGTGATCTAAAACATACCTTGGCAACACCTGGTCTGAATGGGTACTTCATAGCCATCTGGACAGCTTCGTAGATGCTTCCTTCCTCATCTGATTTCTCAAGTCTGAAAATAATATACACGAATTACAGGCTTGAAAAACAGGAACAATTCAGCTGTAACACTTTGCAGTCACACAGCCAGCAGTACAAAACACACCATCTGGTCACCCAGCCAAGAGAGTGACTGCAACAGACTTCTCGGACCTGGCGCAGAACTGCGCCAAGTGACTGGAACGGATAATTTTCACCTGCGCATTATTGCGCCAAGTGCCCACAAAGTGTTAAAAGTATAAGAGGTTCAACATGTCTGAAATCATTTATTCAATTTGTGAATCAAGTAATTGTTCAATAGAAAATCCTAATTCGCCATTCATTACTTCCCCTTTCCTGGGCATGCTCCTGGCTGTATATCGCGTGTGTAATACAGGGAAAGGGGAGGAGTGTGCGCGTGTGTGTGTGTGTGTGAGTATGTATCTGTGTGTGTGTGTCTGTCTATCCGAGTCTGTGTGTGTGTGTGTGTGTGTGTGTCTATGTGTGTGTGTGTGTGTGCGTGCGTGTACGTGTGCATGCTTGTGTGGGTGTATATGTGCATGTGTGAGTGTTATACTTTTGAATCCCTTGGAAAGAATTGCTGGTGTAAAAGGTGAGTATAAACGATTTTTGTCTCCACAAAACTGAGCAGCTGTAAGAATGTAGCCCGACGCACTGCCCTCTAGATCAGACAATGGGGCACCCCCCCCCCCCCCCCCTTAAACATCAAGGACAAGTTTTCTTTTACTTAAGGGTGCAGGAGATTGGTGGGTGCTCTGGAGTGGTTTGTTCCTTCCTTCCTATCAAACATCTATCGTCTTTATCTCCCCTCCTTCTTTATTGTGTATGTTACTCTCTTGTAAAACCGCTCATCTTCAGCACTTATATGACCTTATTGTGTTGCAAGTGCCGTAAAACTCTTACTAAAACTAAAACTTACTTGAGGGTCTCCACTGCTCTGAGGAACAGCAAAGCTTCCCCAAACATCTGTCCGTTGATGGTCCTGGCAGTTGGTGCGCTCATCTCACGGCTTCCATAGCCCTCCAGGCCAAACCGGTTTTCTTTCATTCCTGCAGATAAAGTAAAGGAATAAATGCTTAACCCTATCCGTACATCGTGTTATACTATTGTATCCATACGATGTGGGGAACTGTGTGCCTCCACTTAACCCTATCCGTACGGCATGTTTTACCATCGTATCCATACGACATGGGGAACTCTGTGCGACCACTTTCCAAAGAAGAAATTTACTCGTTAATCTGATCTGTACACTTTGCATAGCAGTCTGTCAAAATTATTTTTTGAGAAATACTGAAAGTTTCAAAGAGATATTCGTACTAGAAGTATTCTAAAATGTGAAGAATACAACCCCAGGGGTACAAAATGACCTCAGGGCATACGGATAGGGTTAACACACAAGGGCACTAACTCTAAAATTAATCAAACTGGCCTGTCACACAGAGGTCCAAGCTCTGAATTAATTAAACTCGACTGAAAGAAAGCTCATCTTTGAGGTTTTGTTTGACTGGATGACTGTTTCTTGGATGGAAACATCCCCATAAATTGGCAAGGTAGTTTAAAAGTAAGCACGTGGACATGACCACCATAATTAATAAGGAGAAGATGGAGAAGGATTGGGCATGTTCTGAGAAGAGAACCAGACTCTATTGTGAAGACTGCCCTCCACTGGACACCCGAAGGAAATCACAAGAAGGGCAGACCCAAAGTGAACTGGAGATGCACAGTAGAGTCTGAAATGAAGTCTTGGAACCATTCGTGGGGGAACGATGACCAAGATGGCCCAAGACAGACAGAGCTGGAAACCCTTTGTTGCTGCCCTAAAGGCGTGACTGGTATTAAGCAAGGTAGTTTGAAAGGCGCTCAATAGATTTGTTGTTGATTAAATTAAATCAAAGTGATCATGAACAGCTTAGAGCACATTTGGATACCGTTATTAACAGCCAATGAATGGTGAAGTCATATTACCTGCATATTCAAGGGCTTTATTCACTTCCGTGGCCATTGTGGAGAGAGAAGATGATGCCCACTTGTTGCACTCACTGTCCTCCACAACAAAAAGAACATCAGCGGACTGATACAGGGCGTCCCTTCTGTCAACTTCAAAAGGCTTTTTGCTGGCACAAGGAGCTGGAGGAGGGAAAAAGAAAAACTGGACCATGTGAGAAGCGTGCTCACAAAATGAATTACTTCTCGGATTCTAGCCCTTTGGAAATAAATACAAAATGCTTTTAGGTGAAGATTTTACAATTTATAAGTATAAAATAATAAAAGGCATATTATACTTAAAGAAAATGGCATCAATAGAAAACCTACAAATTTGACCCTAGTGTCGATTTTAGACCCTAGCGTCGATTTTAGACCAATATCTCCACATGTGAATTGCGAGAAGTAATTCATTTTGTCAGTAGGCCTCATATATCTATAAACATAATTAAATATTATTGACAAGCAAAATTGACAATGAAAATATTCTAAACAAACCAAGAAAAAAGGAGAGATGGGGGGAATGGGGGAGGGCAGGAGTGGTCATTGGTGTGTGACAGGTCACCAAACTTTTTTCAAAGGGGACTGGATGTCTGAGAGAATGCTAAGCGCAGAGCAGATGACTACTAAGTATATATAAAAAATAGGGGCAACCATCCCTTTGATCCATCAATCCAAAATAATATTTTAAAAATCACCAAAATAAGAGAAAGAACAGTAGACATAAATATTTACCAAAAAGTCATTAAATCAAGTAATGTAATAAGATATATATATAAGTTATATTACATCTAGTCGGCACATACGTGAATTTCACAAATCAAGCAGAAAGAAAAAAATAATGCGATTTGTGAAGCTGCCCTTTAGCATTCGGTATCATTGACATTTACTTTGCCACTGCTGCATTCAGTCAAGAGAACTGCTTTCACATGTCCATCAGTCAGCCTCATTTAAAGTATTGAACTAACATAGTATACTTTTTTCTTGTTTTCCCCACATGGTGGCATCCGTTTAACAATACAAAACTTGATCATACACAATGAGGAGTTTTACCATATTCTGAGGCCGGTCCCATAAAGATGCCGTAGCCTTGACAAACGAATCTGTACTGCTCGGTCGCTCTGCGAACAGCTTCCTCAACTGACATACTGTCCAAGTAAGTTTGGCACATTTGTCCGAAGTGAGATGGATCAACCTGTAAAGGAAAGACAGCAAAAGATCTTGTCAGTTCGTTAGTGTTTGAGTGCATGTTTGAGCTGTATGCTTCCAGGGAACCCAAGAATGTTTCGGAGTGTTCTTGGATCTGCTGAGGTAATAATTATAATTGTAAAGCGCGTTTAGCATGATGTAGAGCGTGGATATATAAATATATATATGTGCTATATAAATACAGTTATCATTATTATTAATATTTAAGAAAGTGGAGTAGAACATTAAATTAGCCCTACTTTATAAAATTACTTTCAGCTGAAACAAAGCCAAATACTGCATTTATCATTTTGAGAGTGACCAAAATGAACCCTCTTCAATCAAAGGTCCACTAATGTACCTATTGTAAAAAAAAAAACAAGAGGAAGGAAAACAAATATTTCTTTAAATCACATGAAGATATAATTGTAACATGTGACCTGTACAGACACTTTAACACAGTGCTGAGGGAAATGGACACCAGACATAAATCCTGTTATACCGACAGTGTTTCCATTATGATAAAAGTTTCCACATTTTCATCTATTTAAAAATTACCTGCTTGAAGCAAGCCCTGAACTTTGATGACTCCTGGAAATACTGAAGGCAACGCTTGTCAGTTTTCGTGTTGGAATCGGGCGTGACAGCCACATTTTTCTTGTTGCAAGACTTCCGGTTCACCTCTAAGCTGTCCCAAGTGCTTGATGTCATCATATCATTATCTGAAATAGAAAGGGGTTAAAGCAGATATTCTCTCACAATAGAATATTCATAAGGACATAAAACTGTTTCAAGGCAATGCATTCACAGTTATTCAGAGAGAGAGCTATTAAGGCCATCTGCCTGTGAGATTTTCCCCATTTTTACCCAGTTTGACCATACAGTTTTTCCCCCTCATTTTTGAAACCTACATCCATTTCCATCAAAGTTTCGAGCGTCCGTTTAAATCAATTATGTTTCGAAGTCATTTAAAAATGGGTTAAAAAAATCTGTCTGCCCAGCTCAATATCAGTCGTAAAACGCACTGTTCTATTATCAGCTACGAGGCTCGAAAGGCAAAAAAGTGACTTTCCATGAAATTTTTTTGGGAATATATTGAAAGTTTGATGTCTCCTACTTCATATAACATGAAAATAAACAACTTTAATCAACTACAAATATTCTATTTTGATCTATTTTGGAGGCATGTGTGGTTTGTTGTGAGCTTGGGTGACGAGATAAAGGAATTTGCACCTTGCTAGTGTGTAGCTGTGAGATTAGTTTTAGAACCAGTATTAATTACCTCATGGCCACCTTTGCTTTAACCAAAGATACTCCACATTGGAGTATCTTTGCTTCAATGTTCTTCATTCGCAACTTTTTTTAATGATTTTGACCCTTTTTCTAGCATGAATGGTCTGCAATGTAGACAACTTTGATTGGTAAAATGAAATAAAAACTGTAACTTCTAGCTCACTTCAAGCTTGTTTACATAAACAGGAGACTGTGCGGGCGTGCCCTGCTAGCTGTTATCGTCTGTTGATCTTTCAGTTTTACACTTAAGTTGATTTTAAAAATTCGTTTTTATTGTGTTTTAGTAAATTTAATTAACCTTCTTCTAGATCTCCTAAAGCAGACTCCTTACCAAGAGGCCATCGAGGCGGTCTATGTGCATGTGTGTTGGTGTGTTTGTATGTGTGTGTGTATGTGTGTCTGTGTGTGTGTGTGTGTGTTTGTGAGTGTGTGTGTGCTCTCGTGTGTTTATGGTGCTATTGCAAACATATAACTAGGTAGCGCAAACATGGCACGTAAGCCGACTCGCAGCCTTCAGAGCGCGTGGTTTCGGTAAAATGGGGGTAATTCCAATCTCTGTTTCTTTACCCTTTTGCTGTAAACACCAAATGCAGAACACTTTGAAAAAGTTCAGATTTCCTTCTTTACAATAGTGTAAGTTGTTTGTATATTATAACCCGAGTATGAGCTGGAGAATCGCCTTGGATAGGGAAGCCCCTCGCAGTCGGAATGCGAGGTGGGCCGGTTCAAAATTGACACCCATGCATTCGAATGCTTTGCAAAAAGATTGATGATTAAATACCATCTTTTCATTGGCGGAGAACTATACATCATTAGGCATGGTTTCCTGCGGTTATTATTTTTGGCTTTGGCGTTTGGACAGAAATCTTGAAAAAAAGCGTCTAAGAGTTTTCAAAGATCATTTTAAACACAAAAAATGTTAAATACCGGCTGAAAAGAAGGCTTCAATACAAAGAAAAATTCTTTTTCTATTAGAATAAAGCCATCGACTTGGAATTAATTTGCATGAATCCTTCCGCGAAACTACCGGGAGCACTCAGTACACTACTACAGTATTGAGTCGACTCGCTCACCGCGATGGCTGGTGCGGCACTGGCCAAGACAACGCTCTGTGTTTTTATTGAAATAACGACAGATCATCGTGTTTGAGGCAATACAATACTGATTTGTAATGATCTCACATTCTGAAAAAAATTAAGCTTCATTTCTTTGTTATAATGATTGTATTCAGTTAATGCAGAGATATTTGGTGCACTTAATTGGTACTCTTTTATTATCTGGCATACATGGGGTTGCAGCCAGTTAGCGACTTCAACAATATTTGATTATTATGGTAAATTGAAACAGCTACCATTCTCTTAACCATTGACAGAGAGGTAAAAGTATGGTATCAAAATTCTCAGGAGACACAGGCCTTTCATATTAAACAGATGAATTTGACATACAGCTACTTTGAAAATTTAGTATGTCTGTGATACCAGAGAGTATTTAATTATAGAGAGCGGAAACGAAGCCTCTTTTCGCGTATCCAGGTCACCAGCTGATTGTGAAACGAGGCGCGGCAAACAAAGCTAATGGCGGCTGTCGGCAGTCGCAAGTCACCTGCAAGTGTAAGTGGTGTTCTGCGACAGTCTGCCTCCGTGCCAATTCAAGATCGCATGAATACCAGACCTAGATCTAGCATTATTTAGCTTTCCAAAGGACCCTGAAATGTAAATATTTGCACATGTACTTTTTCATTAACCTTACTTAATATCGTTTTTCTCTTGTGTAGGCCTAACTAGATCTAGAGATCTAGATCTAGAATCTAAATCTAGACTAGATCTAGAATACCTAGACTCTAGACCTAGAATCCTAGAGATATAGATATCTAGATCTAGATTCTAGATATAGATATAGATATCTAGATCTAGATCTCTAGATCTAAATTAGATAATAGATTGTAGATCTAGTATCAGTGTCCAGGTCAATTAGTACTAAATCTAGATCTAGGTCTAGATCTAGAGTCTAGGTCTAGAAGTAAGGGCCTAATTAATGCAGTGGGTCTACTAGGACCAGATCTAGATCTGCATAGATCTAGATCTACCCCTGGGCCTTATTATCATAGCATAGAATAGACCTATTACATGTATACACTATAATGTTTGCCTCCACTACACTCCTTCCTCTACTTCTTCACAGCACAGGCGACAGTGCAGTCGATTAGCCTAGTTCGTCACGTCATGCCAGTGCATGGGCAGGAGGACGAAACATTGTTAAACCTTGCTAGATCTATAGCTAGCGAATGAAACACGTTTTTCTGGGGGCTCTGATCGTGGTCTATAGAGTTTAGAGCCTGGGTTACAGTGTTTGCCTCTCATTCAATAGGTTTGAAACATGACTGGGACAGACATTTTTCTTCTCTAAAGTTTTGTCTTTTCACCGCCCAGCTCTATGTTCTGTCGTCTGTTTTTCCTCCTCACTTTCTGCCCCCCCCCCCCCCACTCACACACCCCTTTTGACTCCTCCTGTGGCGCATCTGGGGCTCCTGGTTCTTTCTGCAGCCTTTACTACTACTACTACATTTGTACTACTGCCACTCATTGGCCCCTTCTATCTGACTGCTGTCTTTCACTAATCAGTCACCTGATCTTATGGTAAGTAAGATCTAACCACAGAATTCTACACTTGTAGAAGTGTAGAATTCTGTGGATCTAACACATAGCCTTCTTGGATAAGGGCGAAAAATCTCGGAGGTCCCGTAAGTTGCGCAAGTTAAGGATCCCTTGGTGTTCTTAAAATCAAAAGAGTAGGCTAAGCTTTGGCCCCCACCTGGGCAAAATTTAAAATTCTTACCAAACTGAAAAAGTTTAATGTGCCCCGCCTGTTCATATGAGACCTATGCTGTCGCAGGCGCAGTAAAGCCCCCCCCCCCCTCTCCTAAAAAAAAAGAAAGAAAAGAAAACACGCAAAAAAAAGTGTTTCAAGTGATCTGAAAGAATTTTTGGGGGATCACCCAGCACTGAGTTCCCCTTTATTTCTTCATCAGTTTGAGACTGATAGTTCCATTTTAAAAAAGTTAAAAATTACATTATCATCGCCTTCATATTGATTTGGGGGGGGGGGGGACCCCAACAAACACACACACACACACACACACACACACACACACACACACACACACACACACACACACACACACACACACACACACACACATATATATATATATATATATATATATATATATATATATATATATAGGCCTCTGGTGAGTTCGATCTGTCGCTTTGTATTCCTGTTTTTATCCATATATGCCAAGCGTAGGCTACACAAAACGAAATCTGTTTTCTATTTCTACAGTCTGTTGCCTTTTCTCATCATTGCCTATAGGCATATAGATCTATATGCTATTGCATGCTCTCTTTCTTTCCTCTCCAACTCTTCCCTACCCACAGTACAGACCCCATGCAGGGCTATGTAACTAATTAGTAAAATAAGTAAAAATGTATTAACCTTTATTAGGCTATCTTAAATTAAACTGCTTATGTTGTAAGCTAGATATCTAGATCAACGCGTGTATTTAGGCTAAGGCAGGCATATGTTTATTATGCTGGAAACCTATAGATCTAGAATCTAGATCTAGAGTCTAGATGACTTTTTTCTTATGTAACTACTGACACTGTCGACTAGATAATTAGATCTAGGTCTCTAGAATCTAGATCTAGATAATCTAGATGTAGATTCTAGATCTAGTTTTCGGTCTACATTATCAAGACATGTTTTGGTTTTATGCTAGATCGACATTATTTTATAACTTGGCCTAGATCTAGAATTCAAATTTAAAATCTGTTGTCCTGTTTTCATTAACATGTGTAACCTTTTCTGTAGACCAGAAGAGTATAGAATTGTAGAGGCATTGTTTACAAATGCAACCTTGGCCAGTTCTCTGATTGCGCTAGGCCTAAGCCGCAGAAAGCTAGGCCTAGGCCTAGGCTAGACGCGACGCGCTTCGTTTCGATAAAAGGCCTAGGCCTAGGCTAGACGCGACGCGCTTCGCTGTCGATACCGCGCCTGGTTATTTTTAGCTCGCGTCTCAGCGGTCACGTTCGCAAATGCACTGTTGTCACGGACCGCGAGGCCTCGTTTCCTGTCTCTATATTTTAGTGTCTCTGGTGATACCTAGTATTGTTGCATTTGATGTGAAGTCCATTCTGGTGGAAATGTTTTGTTCATAAGTTTTTTTCTCTGTTAATGTATAGTTTTCTACTTCTGTATGTTACCTTGCAGTCGCATTGCCAAGATAACTGGAAAATTTCAAGTCTCTATTTCAATTGTAAGACCCCCATTGCTAAGGAAACATGTTGCTCAACTTCGAAGGCCATTTTCTCCTTTTCATGTTTCCTCACCTCGGACAATTTAGTTCCATATTTTCTTCAAATATATGGTCATATTTACTTCATTCTTGTTTTAAATTGAAGGGAAAAGGTGATGATTTTTTAAAATAATGTTAACTCAGGTTTGAAATTTCCTTCATATGACTAATATTGACTGGCAGGGACACAAATATATTTTGCAATTTCGGGTCATGTTTTTTAATATTTTCTTAAATTTTTTTTCAGGTACTTAATTCTCCAACTTTAAATTATATCTTCTCGTTTATTTTTCATCTGAATAGCTTCATTATTTTACACAATGTAAATCCATAGGTGACCAGTACTGAAATCGAGCCCTTTTTGAAGACAATGTAAGATTAAAATTACAATCAGTGTTTTTGTTAGGAATTTTGAGATTTTTTTGCTATTTATCTATGTACACATTTCCAGAGTCCATAATTATTTTCCTAATTGTAATATTACAAATCTGGCATTATTTGTTCATTACATAGGTGTTGTAGTTTGTACTTGCTAAAAATGAAATCGTACGGACGAAAACTAAGAGAGAAGATAGCTTTTGAAATTTGATGAAATTATCCAATATGGCGGACGTTTGCTTGGTTACCATGGTTATCATGTGCTTATAATGTATTTATTCTTTAATGTCTGACTAATATGAATATATCATCTTTGCTACGTGTAGTCAAGGGATAAGGATTTTAGAAATTTCACCAGCAGGTAGCCTTAAGAAAAGAAAATATGGTTGACTGTGTTTTCAACATTTAGTTGTGTGCTTTTTCATTTCACTTATACAAATACATTTCAACACACTAAAATTAACTTTGCTGATTTATTTTTTAAATGATGACCAAAGACAGATGGACAAAAGAGCCTTAGAATCATTCGTGAAAGTATTCAAACCTGCCCTAACTGCTACCTGTATAAGACAACCACCTGTCCAAGACAATTACCTGTATAAGACAATCACCTCTATAAACGGCCATCTCCCATTTCCTCCCATGCATATTTTTCACATTATAACGACATAGCATAAGATGTTAACCTGTCTAAGACAACCACCTTTCTCCTCCACAAGAGCTGGCTGTCTTAGACAATTTCGACAATTCATTTAGCGCTGGGAAAAGACGACACAGACAGAGAAAGAATAGGGATAATCTCTTTTGCTATAGAAGTAGAGTAATTTGGCAAATGTTTCACCTTTGCTTTTTTTAATTAGTTTTAGTAAGAGTTTTACGGCACTTGCAACACAATAAGATCATACAAGTGCTGAAGATTAGAGGTGCTTCAAGAGAGTAACAAACACAAAAAAGAAGGAGGAGAGATCAGGATGATTGATCTTTGATAGGAAAGAAGGAGCAAACCACACCAGAGCACCCAACAGCCACCCACATTTAATCTTTTCAAGAACAGCTGACAGGGCAAGTCACGAAGAATATTTCATCAGAAAAAACAAGCATCAACAAAATCAAACTTTTAGATAAAAGTGACAGAAAAGCTGTTGAAGGTTGTCAAAGAAAATAATCCCCCATGAAGGCTGCACAAATTATAACAATCTTCTTTGTCTGAAATATCATCAGTGTATAAAACATAAACAGAATACAACTTTTTTTTTTTAACCTCAAAATATGGGACCAAAATTTAAAATGAAAAAGAAAAAAAAGAAAGAAAATGGAAAAAAAAGACAAACCCAATGACTAAGATATGAACTATAACTGGATGAGAACTACGACAGCAGGTAATTTCAGAATGATCTCCAGAAGAAAGAGAGAGGCAGACTAACACTTACACTGTAAAGAAAAAAACAAGAAAACCTGAAAGTGTAAGAAAACCAAGAAAACATGTAAGTATAAGAGAACAAGGAAAAAGGGTACAGAGCCACGAGAGAAAAACAAGCAAGCAACATCAGGAGAAAGAGGGTGGACCGACCTGTCCTGGGCACGGGGAAAAGAAACGGTCAAGAAAGTTTACACTAGAAACGAATCATTAGCTACCTGGCTCATTATCATAAGCTCCCAGCATGCCAGCCAAACGGCCATGGTACCATCCGCTGACCGTAACCTTGTACAGGTCAAGCTTGGGATTGAGCAGTGCCTCAAAACCTCCGACATACTCCACCCGAACAAAGTCTCCCTCGTGGAAAATCTTCACCTTGTCAGAAATGAAAGGCATCTCCGCTTCCTTTTTGTTGATGGTCAACTGAAGTTAAAAGGAAATTTTAAAAAAATAAGAACTTTCATAAAGCAGTTTTTCAAAAGCCTTGTTCACAGATAGACATCACGACAATAACAACATCAGTTTTCTGGCAAGGGAATAAAGACAACAGTAGCACTGGGCGCTACCTGTGCCCCCCGGTTTTATGCAAAAATTAATTCTGAAATTAGACAAACTGAGCCCAAAAACGTGAAATTATGCAATTCTGTTAATTTTAGCAAAGAATGATAAAGGAAAATAATCAGAAATAATGCAAAAAATGATCAAAACTTGGTAAATTATGTAGGGTGTACAAAACCGCGGGGACAGCTCTACACAAGGGCAACTGACAATGTTCTGTGTGGGAAACTGTCTGTATTGCTATGAGTTGAGAATCATGTGACGAAGGGGAATTGATGTACGTAAGCACTGTACATGTAATGGTAACCAACATTTACTGGCCAATACCAATTAACTGTTAAAACCCCATCGGACGCTAATAACAACTGACACTAGTGACATGTGCCGTTTCTTTTGGAGCTAGGTTTTGCTTGTTTTTTAAACTATTCTTGATCCAAGTTTTTTAGTTATGGCTATGCCTTTCTTTCAGCCATTAAATTAGAAGTTGGAGGCAAGCTTTTGGGGTTAATAGAGACATAGTGCAACAGAATTAAGTGACTGTAGAAAAAATCCCGGGAAACGGTGGAAAAAAACTCAGGGTTTAAAGAGTGAAAGCGGAATTATGTTTTTATTTTATTGACAAAGACACAGAGTGCCCCCCCCCCCCCCCCCCACACACACACACAAACACCAGGTACAAAGACTTGTGACAAACTAATAAACCACATTAGCTCTTTGACAAATGCAGACAATTCATTTCTTGTTGCACGAGGACCTTAACCTCTTCGTGACAGACCTTTTTTTTTCAACTTTTACTACACTCAATTTTTCCTAGCCACGACAGAACAGCTTCAGTCACTTTGACATTTTCTGTATAAATAAAGATTTATATGCCAAAATCAGCTGATTTTATGACATACAATGTATGAGAGGGCAGCATATTGGTTCACAGTGTTCAACATATATATGGTATATGGGGGCTGTCATGAAGTGGTTAAGGGACTTTTCCTGTACCTTATTATCTAAAGATGACACTATACTGCTTTTGTGAATAGGAAGAGTTGTATCCCTCTTTCAACACACTCTGATTTAGTGTTCATCTCTTTGTAAGACCTACCCAAGTTAATCAAAACTCCCTTAGTTCAAGAATGCCCAGCAGAAGATACAAAGTGAGGTTGTCCACTTTGCAATCAAGACCAATACTAGCACAGCTCCCTCTGGATGTGTCAAGTGCTCTCATATACCTTAAATTTGAAAAATAACTCAAGATTCCCAGAAGACATTTTTCAAATGTCCCAAAAAAATTTTTAACAGAAAGAAGCTATGAAGATGAAAGAGCTCCCCTTATAGTTGTTCCAACACCTCACGGCATTTTTTTTTTTAATTCTAAAAATCTTCAATTTTATAAAAGTATCTTTTTCTCACTAGAAGATAAGAGGATAACAACTTTCAAGCGATGGACTCACCTTATAGTCATTGGCAATCTCAAAGTTGATGGAGTTCTCCACGTGGAAGCAGAGGGACTTGACACCGCTGTGGCGCGGCCGCTTGCCGTAGTTGACCACGATGGAGAAACTGTCGTTGAGCATGTCCCGGGCCAGCACATGGCTGCACTGGCTCATGAAGTCGTACTGGTGCTTGTCAAAGGTCAGGTAGTGCTGGGAGCCAATCAGATAGGCAGATCCTGCGGGAACAGTAGACGGAGAATGAGTACTTACTTTACTTTTACTTTTTCACCCTCTGTTGCCATTCAGCGTCGAGGGGAGATGCAGCTTTCTATGGTAGGCCAGCTCCGCAGCTCTTTCAGTTGTGATATTATGTTCTCTCAGGGTTTTCTTGACACCCTCAATCCACCTTTTGCGTGGCCTTCCTCTTCCTTTATAGCCTGAGCGCTTGGTGTTGTAGGCTCTCGAGGATGGTTGGCCAGGTGACATACATAACAAGTGGCCAAACCATTTTATTCTGTCTTTCTCTGTAATGCAGGAAGGACTCAATGCCAACAGCTGCTCTTACTTCTTCATTTCTCTGCCTGTCTCGGTTTGTGATGTTAAGGGTTTTACAGAGACATTTCATTTCGCATGCAGTGATTTTGCTTTCATGGGTTTTTACTTAATGTTCCGGTCTGGCACTGGTAGCATAATGTTAGTATGAATATTGATGTGATAAGCTGTCTCTTTGTGTCCTTGGAGATGTTTGGATAACAGAGGAGAGAATACTAAAATCCACCAACCCATCCCTAGACATCACACTTACTTTACTTTTACTTTACTTTTCTAATCCAGCGGCCATTTCAGTTCTTGCTCTTCGGCCATTCGATATGGCAAAGAAATGACAGGTTTTTATCAGCTGTGTTTTGTCGTTGTATAGAGTATTTCTGATGTCTGGGGAGGCAGGTGGGTAGGTACTATGCAGGCCGCTTAGAGCAGACATCACACAACCTCACCATCAAAAGAAAGTAGGCATCTACTCTGACATCAGAATACTAAAACAACCACCAACCCATTCCTAAACATCACACAAACTCACACTCTGACACCAGAATACTAAAACCACCAGCAACCCACCCCTAGACACTTTGACATCAAAATACTACACCCACCACCAACCCATCCCTAGACACTCTGATATCAAAATACTAAAACCAACCTCAATCCACCCATAGACATGACACAAACTCACCATCAAAAGGAGGCACCCACTCGGAGGTCTCCACCGACGGTACATAGTTGTAGTACGTGTCCCACAGCATGCCGTCAGTCGTCGGTAGCTCAATCTGAGTCAGCTCCTTCAGCTTGGCCGCGTACTTTCCGGGTTTGATCTTTGGAACTTCAGCGAGAGATTTGAGAGGGAATGGCAGGTAAACCTGTAAGAGTACAGAATGAAAGAGGAGAGAAAAAATTAGCTATGTCTGGAGTCAAATTCAGATGAGTTATTCACTAATAATCCGCTTGAAATGTACATTTTTTGTTGCTGGAAAAGTAAAAGCTTTTGGTACGTATACCTTCCTAAAATTATTGTCATGAAACCTACCCTGATCTCAATCAAAATTTCTAAAAGCACATACTAATCCGGTAGAGGGCATTTTCCTACAATACTAGATGACAGACTAATACTCTGGTATAACTCTATGGTTACCCTTACGGGGACACCTTCGTAAAAAAATAAGAACTTCCAGTCATAATAAAGTATAAAATGCGGCGCTAAATAATTAGGAAGGCCATAACAAAATGAAACAACTAGAAGTATATTTGGCCCAAAATAGAGTAGTTCTAAATTTTAAAACAATGCAAAATAAATGCTAGACTGCCTATAACTTCAACTGAATATGGTTTCTCTTGAGGTACTCATTTGAGAAAAATATACAAAGTATATACTATATATCAGATAAACTGCATAGCCAGAAGCCAGTGACAGCATTAATATTTGTGCAGAAAGGACTGAACTTGTACATTCAACAGTCACCATGCAGTCAAAAAAAAATATTTAACCAATCACGAACCCCATTTTAGACACAGACAACATCCATACGAAAACAACATCCCACAATTTCTTTGAATGCACTGAGGTTTGAGCTGCACTGAAAAACTCTTTGGTTACTTCCTTAGCTTGAAAGTCCTCTAAAACTGAACATTTATATTTTTTTGTTCCTTTAACACTTTGCCGCCTCATCTCGCCGATTGGCAATGTTTACCACCCAGTTTCTTTGGATTTTCCCCAAAATATGATGGCAAAGTGTTAATCAAGGTTTTTCAGTATAATCTACATAGAAATGTATTTTTGATGAAAGATATTGAGCCAAAAAATAAAAATTTGGAGACAAGCTGTTTTGACTGCGCCTGTCAGGACCAAGCCGGAATGAGCAGGATACAACGTCCCAGTAGACTGACAAAGATACTATATCAACAACATCCCCAACGAGGTATTAAACTGGCATCTAGTGAGTGCAACAGCATAACACCTTACCGCTACACCACTGATGCCCATCAACACCTTGAGACAACAACAATAACAACAGCAAACATTTGAACATCTTTTATTTAACTCTTTGAACCCCATCGGACGCTGGGAGTGTCTGGCACTAGTGACAACTGTTTTGTTTTATTTAGTGCTAGTTATTGCTTGTTTTTCAGAACTATTCCCGAATCAAGTTTTTTAGAAATGACTAAGCCTTTATTTCCGCTATTTAGGAGTTGGAGGCAAGCTTTTGGGGTTATAATGAGACATAGTGCACTAGGTTTAGGTGACTGTAGAAAAAAACTCCGGGAAACGGCAGAAAAAACTCAGGGCTTAAAGAGTTAAAGACTAAATGACAGACCTCCACTTGGAGCTCTCCCCTCTGTGGGTCAAAGACAATGACACGATTCTTGTCCAGCTCCATCAGGGAATTCTTCAGCTGCTTCAGCTGCATCAACACAAGGTTCTTGGACAGCTCCAGAAGTCGGCGCACGCCGTTGGCTAAACTCTTGTCTGCATTCCAGAACTGGAACTGGAAAAACAAAATATCTTCACTGGCTGAGGGAAGTCAACACTTGAGGAGGTGTCATGGGAGAGCACGAAGAGAACATAGTTTCCCACAACAAGACCCTGTCTAAGTAAAGCGCAGACATTTAGACTAAACGCACACTAGGCAAGGCTAAGAAGGATAGTGGGGATCAAATGGAACGATCGAGTCCAAAATGCTCAACTGTGGGAAAGAATATATTATAGATAGCATTTGTAGAGCGCAAATCCCCCCTCAACAGCAAGCTCTATGCGCTTCACAACCTATGTATGTATATATGTATTTATAATTATGTATTTATGTATGTATATGTATGTTTGCCATTGTAAACCAAAGTGCCCTTCTGGGACAAATAAAAGTGCAATTTATTTATTATTATCAGTGTTGATTGATGGAATTACATGAGTAGATAAAAAAGAATGGATTCTGTCTCTTTTCATACAATCTCATTAGCTAATACATGTAGACTTTACTGAAAACACATTTAATGACATTGCCCCTCAAAAAACCCAGTTCTTTTTTATTTTTACTGTCTTACCTGCTGATGAATTTTATTTGTTGTCAAAACATCTGACAACATAGCATGAGGAAAAAAAGAAGTACAAAGTCTACCTTTCTTAACAATTTGCTGATGGGCTTTTTTGTCAAAGCATAAGACAGCATTGCGCAAGGGAAAAAAGAGCAAATGAGGGGGAAAAAACCCAAACAAATTCTATCTTTTTTTTTGGGGGGGGGGGGACAATCTTACCTGCTGATGGATTTCCTTGTCAAGGCATTATACGTAAAGCATTGAATGAGAAGAAAAACAAAACAATTTCTATCTTTTTTTTTGACAATCTTACCTGCTAATGGACTTACTTATCAAGGCATTACATGTATAGGGCACTGCATGACGGAAAAAATACAAACAAATTCTATCTTTTTTAAAATTAACAATCTTACTTGCCGATTGATTTCCTTGTCAAGGCATTATACAGCATTGATTGAGGGGAAAAAAACAAAACAAATTCTTTTTTTTTTTTTTTACCATCTTCCCTGCTGATGGATTTCCTTGTCAAGTCATTGTACGGCATTGCATGAGAGGAAAAACAAAACAAATTCTATTTTTTTTTGTTTGACAATCTTACCTGCTGATAGGTTTCCTTGTCAAGGCGTAATACGCACGTCATTGAATGAGGGGAAAAACAAAACAAATTCTATTTCTTTTTTTGACAATCTTCCAGCTAATGGACTTACTTATCAAGGCATTACATGTATATGGCACTGCACGAGGAAACCCCCCCCCCCCCAATAAATTCTATCTTTTTTTTTTGGACCATCTTACCTGCTGATGGATTTCCTTGTCAAGTCATTATACGGCATTGCATGAGATGAAAAACAAAACAAATTCTTTTTTTTTTTTTTAAACCATCTTACCTGCCAATTGATTTCCTAGTCAAAGCATTGTACGGCATTGATTGAGGGGAGAAAAACAAAACAAATTCAAATTTTTGTTTTTCCAATCTTACCTGCAGATGGACTTCACTGGCCATGGCATGAGCGTGTAGGAACTCTGGGCGGGCCATAAGGTCGTGGAACTGGTCCTGTAGGATGCGGTGGCCCTGCAGGTACAGCTGGCTGTACATGTGGCTCGGGTGGATCAGGCTCTCCCCGCCCTGCTTAGAGGGCTCAGCCTGCTGGGCCATCAGTTTCTGGACCTCGGGCAGCTTGTTCATGAGCCGCTCGTAGCCTGGTGGGAGGTCGAAAGTGTGAGGTGAGGTGAGGAGAGGTGGGGT